CCCCCCCCCCCCCCCCCCCCCCCTCCCTCCCCCAATGTCCCAATTTTGCAGACGTTACTCCTTCTCCTGGGAGACATGGAGTTCGACATACGCCTCGATGCGTTAGCGTTACTCGGCAGGCTGGCCCAGTTCAACCCCGCTTACCTGTTGGCTCCCTTGAGCAACGTGCTCAAGCACATCGTCGTAGCCCTGAAGTACGGGAGCGAGGACATAATCAAGGAGCAGTCGACGCGCATGCTGTGCACCTTCCTGAAGGCTCCGGCCCTCAAGTACTTGGTGCACCCGTACGTGAAGAAGGTCATCGAGATTTTGCCGCTCAAGGTGAGAGAGCGTCTCTTCTTGGTAGTGGTGATGGTGTCGAATCTTCTTGTTGCTACAGAAGTGGCTTCGATAGAAAGAGGCGGTGTGACAAAAGGCCCTCGACCTTCGTATATCGGAGCCAATTCTCGTACCGGGCTAAGAGAGTACTCAACTGTACTGTATGGCGGGTCGAGCCCGTGACAATCGATTTCGATACTCTTGTGTCGCAGCCACGAGTGTTCTTCGTTTGCTGTTGGTGGTGTTGATGTTTTTTTCTGGTGTTTGTGGTGGTTCTTGTTGCTCGTGCCTGCCGCTGTTGATGTTGTTGCTTGTAATTGTTTTTTGTATTGTTGGTGATGGTAGCGGGCGTGGTTACTACTGAACGGCCATCCTAACTCGACCGTCCCGGCCGTAAACACTTATCATCACGGCGATGCAGTGACTGCATACGTACCGTTTAATGCTGCACCCGGGTGGTATTTGATGCGCTGATGGCTTCGCACGTGGAAGGTGCACACCATCGTACGCTGCGCTGGCTATTTTTCATTTTTTTTTGCCCTTGCGGGCTCCTCGTGTGCAAAACACGCTTGCGCACCTTAACCCCCATGACATCACGGAGCCCCCCTTTTTATTAAACATACACCCTGCTGCCCATCCCTCAATCGACGCCTGTCGGTCGATCGATGTCAGGGGCACCCGCGGCTGGCAACTGCAGCCCTGGAAGCCCTTGGGTGGCTCAGCCTGAGCGCGTCGGAGCTGATGCTGCCGTTCATGGACAAGCTCATCCCCTTCATGATCACCAGCATCCAGGACTCTACCAACGTGAACGGTCGAGAGGTGAGGGTAGGGGGTCGAGTGCACGTGTGTATGTGTGCGTTGCAACACTCTTTTAGGATGCCGTTCACCTCGTCTGCTGACCTCGATCACCAACGGAGGGACCGATGGATCTCTCTCTCTCCCTCTATTTCCCATGTACTGTACCCCCGGCGTGTCCCTCCATCCTGGCATGCTGGGGTGCGAGGTCTATGGTCTACCGACGAGGGGTTGCAAGGCACGAGGATGGGAACCATGAGACGCCTCGATCGGACGGAGAGGGATTGCAGCACCTGTTGCCGTAGCCATGCCAAAGCTGCGCTCTCCGCTGTGGCGTAGACAAGCTTTCGCTTTCCTCTTCCCCCGGCGTGTGTCTCCGTCCCGGCATTGTGGGGTGCGAAGTCAACGGTCTTACAACGTCTACGCTATACGTTTAACATAAGCATGAGTACACCCCCCCCCCCTACCCCCGGCCCCGCAGGTTAGCCTCCGTACCCTCGGGCGCATCGTGAGCGCCACCGGCTACGTCATCAAGCCCTACCTCCGTTACCCAACCCTGCTGGACAGCGCCTTCTCCATTCTCCGAGCGAGGGGCAACACGCGTTGGTCTCTCCGCTGCGAGGTCCTCCGGACCCTGGGGATACTGGGGGCCCTGGACCCCTACCGTTACGGACAGATCTTGCTGTACCTTCGGGCGCAGCGGCTGCAGGCGGAGGCTGTGGCGGCTGGGGCGAGTACGAGCAGGGGGGACATTAGCCCGTCGGGTGAGTCGTCAGGGTTAGGGTTGTTTTGGTGGTGGTGGTGGTGGTGGTGGGGTGTTGTTGCCGTTGATGATGTTGTTGATTTTGCAGCTGTTTCCGCTGTGGCTGCTGCTGTGCAGTTACTTTGCTGTTGTTGTTTTTGCTGTTTTCTGAAGTACGTGTGTTTCGCTTGCATGTTTATATTTCGTTGTTTTGGTCAAGGTAACACAAGACACTTTGACCTGTCGCTTAGAGATGCCCCCTGGATCGGACAATAGGGGAAGGGATAGTATCAGCAGCAGCAGGGCCTCCTGAGCCAACCCAAACACTAACTCCTGTCTCTCTGCCCTGTCTCGCCCTCTATCTGTCCTCGATCTATCTTTTCCTCTCTGTCTCTCCCTCTGCTCTATCTGTCTCTTCCTCTGTCTCTGTCTCTGTCTCTCTCTCTCCCTTTTCCCTCTCTCTTGCCCTGTATCTCCCTCTCTTCTGTCCTCTCTCTATCTATCCCCCTGTCTCTCGCTGTCCTCTATCTATCTCTTCCTCTATCTCTCTCTTTCTCCCTCCCTCTCCCCCTCTCCTGTCTCTTCCTCAATCTATCTCTTCCTCCCTCCCTCTCCCTCTCTCCCTCTCCCTCCCTCTCCCTCTCCTATCTCTTTCCCTCTCTCTCTCCCTCTCTCCCAGCTACCGGCAATGCCGCCGGAGGAGACGGAGACGGCCTCGCCGCTAGACGTCGAAAAAAAAACGGCGGCGGCAACGCCTTTGCCGGGGGAGTAGGCTCCAACGTTCCGGCCTACCCCCGCGCCGGCAACTTGTCGTCTGTCGGCATGGGCCAGCCGCCTGGAGGGGGCAATGAGGGCGCGGCGGCGGCGGCGGCGGCGGTGCGGAACGGTGAGAACAGACAAAGTAACACCTTTCTTTGGTTCTTTTGTTGCTGAGTGGGTTGATTTCTGTTTTCTTGCGGAACGGTTGCGGCGGCGGCAGCGGTGCGGAACGGTGAGAAAAGAAAAAAGAACACCTTGCTTTGGTTCTTTTGTTGCTGAGTGTAAATTGTACTGATTGGCTTTAGGATTTTTGCGGAGCGGTTGCCGCGACGGCGGCGGCAGCGGTGTGCAGCGGTGAGAAAAGAGAAAATAACACGTTTGTTTTGATTTTTTTTTGTTTCCTTGCAAAGTGGTTCTCTTTTCTGTGTGTGCGTGTGTTGCTGGAGAAGCGTGGCTTGCGGAGTGGTACCATTTTCGCAGGGTACTGTTTGTTTTTCGTGGTGTGCTGGGTCATGCAGTTTTGCCTGTGTCAACAGCAGGGGCATTTTCTCCAATGGACGTTAGTGTCTCTATTTTTGATAGAGACGGTGTCCCTGTATAGGAGAGAAGGCCTGCATTCCACTAGCCCTCGCAGTTTTTTTCGCAGCATGAAAACCTGTTGGATGGATAAAGCATATTTTTTTGGGAACTTGAGTAACCATAGGGAATAAACGTCT